CTTGTGCCCCACTGGGCCTGTACATATGGTTGGTTCGTGACAATCTTGTACTGAGCGGACTTCTTTCTCTCTTCGTCTACATTGCCTTGTGTAATACGTAATAGTAATAGACTTTTTGCCACTATTAGCCGCTGAGGGCGTGTGGCTCAGTTGGTAGAGCGTTCGCTTAGCATACTTTCAAGTTTGCGAAAGGTCCTGGGTTCGATTCCCAGCCCGTCCACGTGTCAGAAAATTTTTGGCCAGAGTTGCTCGTGCCAGCTCTACCGGTCTCACATTTTACCCCTTTCTCTATTCCTCTTTCCTCATAAAGTGCGAAGCATCAGCGGGGTTTACCCTCCATCCTATAGCAGCAGTGAACACAAATCTTAAGCTCCCAGTGTTAGTAGTGTGCAATGGCCGACTACGGCCGGGGTAGCACAGTGCGAGTGCCTGGATAGGGTCCTGGAGCTACTAGAGAAAGCTTAACGACCCGGCGTAATAACTTTGTTACACGTAAAGAGTTCTCCGCACTCCTCAATTCGAGAAGCACCCGATGTCAGCTTACTTAATGGCTAGACTGCATGTCATGTCTGGTATTCTCTTTCTTGAATGCATCAGGGCGGTCTGAAGCTGAGTGCCACGTTCGACTACTGAACACTATTTGGAACAAAGTCTATTTATACTTTGTCAGATATATGGATTGAAATCAGTAACACTAAGTTTGTTAAGTAGAGGACGGTTGCTGCACTGTCAACGTCAATGCTAATAACCCAGCCCTTGACGTTACTTGTCGGGGCTCCCAAATCGCCGATCTGAATAGCCGCCAAGCTTGGCGGGCGGGTCTGGCGGCGTTTTCGAAGTCCCGACGAGTACGGAATAGACTTGGATTGCCCCCGATTCGGTCCTCTACCATGGAGCCATAAAATAGCCTTAAAGGTATGGCAGGTCCCTGTGGTCAGGCTGCAATCTCTGCTGGCCTTCAATTTATAATGTATCTGCTTTATCCCTTTGTTGCGGACCCACAAGAAGTAGGTCGTCGGGGTTCATAATTAAGTTTCCAGAAGTGAAGGTGAGGGGCAGTACCCTAGGTAGGCTGGAAGAGATGTAGGAATTCCGTATTGTAACCGTACAATACAGGTGGGGTCCAGGATCGGAAAGCGAGCCATCGGTGTTACCCAATGATTTCGCCTGCGAGTACGGCGGTTGCATGCTGGAATTTCTGCACTGTGCATGAACGGCGGTATGCCCCGCGTCTGCCCTTTCCTTCATTCACTCCGACAATGTCGCCGAGCCTCGAGTGACTCTTTTTCTCCCTTTTTTCGTTCGTTTTCTTTCTTTCCCACTCCTCAGTTTCCATCCGCGTTTCGGGACCATTGCCGGCTGGTAATCGAGGGCACTGCGGTGCAACATCTAGAGGCGTAGACGATTTGCTTCGTTGTCCGCCGAGGAAGTGCGCCGTCTTGAGCTGCTGTCGAGTTTGACTAACCATGTATGGTCTCCTAATCAGCCCGTATTTCTACTACTTCTTTCTCTCTTTTGTTTGCTGTACCTGGCGCCTGGAGATGAATCTCTCGTTTCGTCTTTGTTCCCGTCTGATGGCTTCCCTCCGGGTGGCTCGACATTGCTCCTTTGACGGCAGCAGCAAGCTAACATAAACACTCTCGTTGATTGGCAGCAGTTGTATCCTCCTCACCCTACCCTCTTCCCGAGTAGAGCAACCCGCCACCATGCATATCCGGGACATGTTGGCGGAAGCCGAGAGAACCGGCGAGCCGTCCTTTTCGTTCGAGTACTTCCCGCCTAAGACGGCCCAGGGCGTGCAGAACCTGTACGACCGCATGGAGCGCATGTACAACTTTGGCCCCAAGTTCATTGACATCACCTGGGGCGCCGGCGGCCGCATCGCCGAGCTGACGTGCGAGATGGTGGTCCAGGCCCAGGCCTACCTCGGGCTCGAGGCCTGCATGCATTTGACATGCACCGACATGGGTGAAGAGAAAGTCAACGACGCCCTGCGCAAGGCTTATAAGGCCGGTTGCACCAACATCTTGGCCCTCCGCGGCGACCCGCCACGCGACAAGGAGAAGTGGGAGGCTACCGAAACAGGGTTCCGCTATGCCCGCGATCTTGTCGCCCACATCCGCAAGATGTACGGTAACCACTTCGATATTGGTGTTGCCGGCTACCCGGAGGGCTGCGACGACAACAAGGATGAAGACTTACTGCTCGACCACCTAAAGGAAAAGGTCGACATGGGTGCTTCCTTCATCGTCACCCAGATGTTCTACGATGTGGACAACTTCCTCCGCTGGGTCGGGAGGGTTAGGGAACGTGGCATCACTGTGCCCATCGTCCCGGGAATCATGCCTATTGCCACCTATGCCAGCTTCCTGCGCCGGGCGAACCACATGAATTGCAAGATTCCCGAAGAATGGCTGGCGAAGCTCGAACCGGTCAAGAACGACGATGTGGCCGTCCGTGAGGTTGGCAAGACGCTGGTCGCCGACATGTGCCGCAAGATCCTTGCCGCTGGTATCCGTCATCTGCACTTCTACACCATGAACCTCGCCCAGGCGACTCGCATGGTTCTGGAGGAGCTGAATTGGTTGCCTTCCCCCGACCGCCCACTCAAGCAGGCGCTCCCTTGGAAGCAATCCTTGGGTTTCGGGCGCCGTGGCGAGGATGTCCGGCCCATCTTCTGGCGCAACCGCAACAAGTCGTACGTGGCGCGCACCCAGGAGTGGGACGAGTTTCCCAATGGCCGCTGGGGTGACTCGAGGTCTCCGGCCTTCGGCGAGCTGGATGCCTACGGCATTGGTTTGACCGGCACCAACGAGCAGAACCGTCAGAAGTGGGGTGAACCTACCTGCATCCAGGATATTGCCAACTTGTTCGTTCGTTACTTGAACAAGGAGATCGAATATCTCCCCTGGAGCGAGGCGCCGGTGGCAGAAGAGGCTGACCTGATCAAGAACGAGCTGATCGAACTAAATCAGCGGGGCCTGATTACCGTGAACTCACAGCCAGCTGTCAACGGAGTCAAGTCGACCCACCCTGTTCACGGTTGGGGCCCTTCGAATGGCTACGTCTATCAGAAGGCTTATCTCGAGATGTTCGTCTCGCCCGCGCTCTTCCCAGAGATCAAGCGGCGCATCGAGAACCACCCAGATCTGACATACCATGCCGTGACCAAGTCCGGCAATCTTCACACCAACGCCCAGTCCGAGGGACCCAACGCTGTCACCTGGGGCGTGTTCCCGGGCAAGGAGATTGTCCAACCCACTATTGTGGAGAGAATCAGCTTCCTCGCTTGGAAGGATGAGGCATTCCAGTTGGGCACCGAGTGGGCTCGTTGCTACGACGCCGGCAGCCCAAGCCGTCTCGTCTTGGATGAAATCATGAACACCTGGTACCTGGTCAATATCGGTAAGGCAACCCTTGCAGTTTCTTGTGGGGTGACCGACGCTGATAAGCACTCAGTTAATAACGATTTCCACCGTGGACATACTATTTTCGAAGTTCTCAGTGGTCTGGAGGTTCCAGACTTGGACACGGTTCCGCAGCCACAGACCAACGGGACTAAAGCACACACGCACGGCGCCCCTAACGGCGTCGATGCGTCAGCATAATGTCTCATAACTGGTCGTCTCCCAGTCGAACTGCGCCGTTCAACCCGGCCAGCCGACTAGCCGCGACGACGAATCTCTCTTCAACATTTTTTGCATGGCCATGATACATTTCAACCTCCCAACTTGCACACACGCACAACTTTTAATCCATCTCTCCATCCGCAGCCTGGAGCGGGACGAGGCCGGACCTAAGAGAAGACACATTTCACGACGCACTCGACATCAGCATCATTTAACATACAGCAGCATGCATTTGGGAAGGCGTTTTATAAGTGGGCGGGTGACGAATGATATGCATGACGAGGCATGTTCATTGTGTCCTCCGAGATCATGGTTTGATTTTTCAACAAAAACAGGGAAGGCAGGCAGGCAGGCGTGTTTGGAAAGAATGGATGAATTTCAATCATCAATCGGGAGTCATCTGAAGACCGGGCCGGTTTGGAAGAAAAAGGGGAGAGAGTTGCGGGGGAGGGATATGATCAACCCAGGATTTTCATGCATCACCGATATCTCAACGATACCCAGGGGAAATGTAAGCAGAATTCGGAATTTCTTAGGTTTGTTGACATCCCTTTTGTTCAGGGGTGGACAGACATCAACTTCAACAGTGGTTGAGATACAGGAGAAGAAAATACAGAAGCTGAAAATACAGAAGCTGAAAATACAGAAGCTGAAAATACAGAAGCTGAAAATACAGAAGCTAGAAACGGCAGGTAGAAGCCGTGATCACATCCAAGCAGCCAAACCGGTGGTGTATGGCGGGCGGCACGGAACAAATGAGAGACCCAGAGATGCTTGATGTGCGCCAGCCGACAAGGCAATGGTCTCGTCTAAAACGCGAACGCATAATACAATGGCCCCAACTTGCTGTCATTGGCAGATGGCTTGTGAAAAACAATCCAGCACATATTGTAGTTGGAAAGGCATACGTTCTAAGTATACAGCCAACGGATTTTCTCTTATTTGATACAAGCTCTGCAGTGCATTCTCGACGTGCCCAAGGTTGAATGATCCAGGTAGTCCACAAAAGCCAGCATGTAACGGCCAGGATCGTACTGTACTCCGTTCTTTATCCAGCACGGGTCATGCCCATTCGTCCCCGCCGTTTTGCTTTGTGTTAACCGCTCATGCAAATTTCGCGAAGACGTCCGCATGCCCTTGAAGCCCAAAGCAACCTTTTCGAACCCCAAGCACAAATGACCTCAGTGCCCAACTCATACGCATCCCGTACTGTACTGTATAACACAATCGACACAGTGATTAGTATCTACCCCTTTCTCTACCTCATCAACTTCACGAGCTCCCAAACCATGAAGACCAATAGTGAATTTACCCCAGCAGGAAAAAGAGAGGAAACCCCTAGTGTGAAGCCAAATCTGAGAGGGAAGCACTACTGGTAGCCCCACTGCTCCTCATCAGCAACCTCGTAATCCATCTCATTAAGATCCCGCCCCTGGCCGTGACCGTGGCCGGGCGGCCGCTCAAGCAGAATGTGCACGTCTTTATCGCTGCTGCTTCCTGCCCCCGCGGCGGGCCCGTCGTCATCGCCGTCGCCGCCACCGTGGCCTTTGCGTGTGCCTGTTGGTGGTGTCTTTGTTGCTGGGTCGACGCTCCCTATCCCGGCAGGGCCGGTGCCAATTTGATGCATCTTCGCGTTGCTTGGCGTGATGGTTGTGGTGGTGGTGGTGGTGGTGGTGGTGGTGGCGCCAGGAGTGGTGGGCGCCGAGCCGGCCGAGCCGTTGGGTCCGCCCCAGGCTAGTTCGAGGGGTGATGAGGCGTCGAGGCCGGGAATTTCCTTGTTGTTGAGGAGAACCGAGTTGAGGAATTTCTCGGCCGTTTTGCGGTCTTTGAAGGTGATTTCTGCGAATGTCGAGTTTGTCTGGACGTCGGTAAACTCGCCGATGCCCTGGGGGTTGAGTCAGTTACTGGGACTAGATAGTTGAGCTGAAAAGTCTGGAAGGGGTATACTCACAAAAAGGTATTGCCGCAGGGTTTCGTCCCTTTCAGGCACAGTGAAATCCGCTCCCGTGACAATAACCTTCTTGGGCCGGTTGTCGAGGGAATAGGCGGCATAAGCGGCGTGGACGTTACCCGCGTTACCACGGCCGCGGAAGCCCCCGCGGAATGACCCACGCGGCGTGTACGGTGATGCGCCTCGCCAAGCACCTCTGCCTCGTCCATAACCACCTCGGCTTGGCCACGGGGTTGGGGTGTCCAGTGCGTCGGGGTCAAGTCCCATTTGCCTCGCCTCGGCCTCGAGCGCTGCCAGTTGAGCGCGGAGTGCTTCCGTCTGACTCATGGGCTTCTTCGGACTGTCTCCGTTCTCGTCGGATTTGGAGCCATTGCGGCCTGCGAGCTTGGCTTCAAGCCTCGCCTTCTCTTCTAGCTGCTTGGCGAGGAGCTCCTTTTGCCGCCTTTCGAGCTCCTCCCTCTGGCGCTCCAGCTCCTCCCTTTTCTTAAGCTTCTCTTCATATGCCCTTTGCTTCTCCTCTTGCTGCTTGGCGAACTCTTCCAAGTCTATCTCGGGATGCGGGCCAGCGTGGCTACCATCAGCAAGGGATGAGCCGCTGGTGGCCTGTGCCCTCTTTGCGCCGGGCGCACCTCCCACCATGGGTGCCGAGGCCGGGAGCGCAGATTCATCGTCTTTGTACCAAAACACCTTGACAAAGCGATTGTCGAAGATGACTTTTGGTGACTGATAGGCGGCATTGGCGGCATTCCAGCTGTCAAATTTGACAATAGCCAATCTCTTATACGGCTGCATTGAAATGTCCAGGATGTAGCCAAACTGCGAGAAAAAGCCTTTCACCTGGTCTTCGCTAAAGTTCTCCTCCGGAATATTCTCCACCACGATCGTGGACTTCGCCCTGTCGAAGACGGGTCCGTCCGCAGAAAACGGCGCTTTCTCGCCCCGGCTTTGACGGTTCTGATGCTTGCCGCCTCGAAGTCTGAGAGGGCGGCCAATGTCAGGGACGGCAGTCTGCCCGGAAATCGGACCGCGTCCGTTGAAGAGGTCGGGAATGAGGGCATTGGCAGGGTCATACTCTGCTCGGTTGTCAGCTACCTTGATGTTTCGACCTGACGTGATGCGCAGCCTACCTTCGACAGCCGGGGGCTGCGGTACCGGCTGCATGGCGCCAAATGGAGGTCCAGGCGGAGGCGGATAAACGGGATCGTCGCTATGCGCAAACTTGCAGTTGCTCCCGCGCTGACAGTAACCCTTCTTCTCCCAGTCACGGCACTTCTTCCTCCTCCTGGGGCGTTCCTGTGACAGGAGTTCAGGCATGGGATGTCCGGCGGCAAGGCTCATGCCGAACATTGCAGCTGCATCCATGGCGCCCTTAGGGTGAAAATAGCCGACCAACGAGGGTCCTGGAGGGCCCTGGGGCGACAGTTGGCCGGGCGGGTGGTAAGGCGGAATCCCGGCGGCAACGCCTCTGAAGTCGTCTGGTCTCGACGCGCGCCCCCCTCGCCGAGGCTGCTTGAACGCTCTCGCGCCGATGCCGGCGTCCCTTCCATTCTGCTGAGCATTTGGGTCGTCCCAATCGGTGTACGGCCGCTTTCTCGACCCATTCCGAAACGGGGGCGGGTACGTCGGAGCGGCGCCCACGGGGCTATCATCGTAGTAAAGACTCGGAGGCGGTTGACCGGCATCACCAGGGGTCGGAAGGGCTGCATACTTCTGAGGCGGGGGTCGGGCGCCGGGTAGGTATGATTGGTATGTGAGAGCTTGAAACAGATCGCTCACGAATACCGGCGAGTCTGCAACAAAGGCTGGTGAGCTTGGGAAAGGTACAAGGCTCGAGAATGCGCACCTTCTTTGAGGAAGTCGGGCATTTCCTCCTCGCAGAGCTTGCGCACGTCGTCGACGTTGCCATCGTGGCGCAGGAGGGCCAGAACATAGTCGGCGAGGACGTCCGGGTCGGCGTCAGATCTGTTGCAAGGGAATAGCAAGATGTCAGAGCGGCGCAGAGAACAAGAGGATAAATGACGAGGAAGACGGACGTATTCTCGAGGCGCTCGACTATCCACTTCTTTAGGTGCTGCGAGTGCTCCTCTGAAAACAACATGTTGGTTGTTCTTCTGTGGTTTAGAATGTTCCATGGACGTAGGTTGGAAAAGTGAGAGTAACTTTTGCCGAACTTCTTGTTCAAATTCGCTTGTTGGACTTGGGAGCTTGAATGCTGATCAGAAGCTCGATCATGTAAGGTAACAAAACGTTCGTCAAGAGACGCGAGCAGCGGCGGGGTGTGTACAGGTAATTTACATACCCAAGCCCTCGCGTAGTTCCATAATATACCATAGCGCCGCCACCGGGGGTTTCCAAACTGGTCATAGTGACGGTTGTTCCTATGCCAAGATCATCCCTCGATATCAATACTATATTGGCCAGTCAAAACGGTCATCATTGATCGTCAATGAGCTAAGTTCGTCAGTGCTTCCGGATACCTTCTAAAAACAGCTTATCTTTCAAGGAAGGAGCTGTTCTGTTTGGATAATGGTCATTGCGACTATGTTGATTTGAATCTATTTTGCAGTGTAAAATTTATTTTATGTGTAAGTGTATTTTCGAGGGCCAAAATACTGCCAGGCAATTACACCACTTGGCTGGCAAAGGCACTGGCAACGGCATCCAGAGCTTGTTGCGCATAGCGATGTGGCGCGCATGTCGGGCAGAGCAATATGAAGGTCTTGGCAAATGCAGCTTAGCCTTGTTGTAGTAGTATATAGTTCAATACAAAAAGTCTTACGTTCAATTCCAGTTGTGATCCAATGTCTCGGAATGAAAATCCAAGTGAGAAACTAAATGATTAGTAAGTAAAGACAAATAGTTACTATGACCATTTTGGAAACCCCCGGTGGCGTCCAAAAGTCTCCATACACCCCCCTTGATTAAACGCGACTCTCCACGCGTCGCGACACCCCTATGCTTTTCCAACTGCAACAACTCAACATCGTGAAGCTCAATCTAGCTGATTTCGGGGCCAAATTAACGTAAATTCGCGGCCGGAATGAGGAGTTATCACCAGTCGCTCGTGCAGCCATTTGCTGCGCTGTAGCTTGCGGTAAAACCTACCGGGCTGTAGCGGACGCGTTTGGCGTCTTTGTCGGCGCCGTACAAGACTGCATTCGACGCTGGGAAACTCAACAGACCTTTGATTCGAAACCTCGAAAGTGCCGTCCTCAGAAGCTTTCGCCATCGGAGAAGCGGTATATCCTAACTCTTTTGAAGAGAAACCGGGATGTTGCTAAAAAGGCTCTGGTTGCAGCCACGGGTTTTAAAGTGTCCTACTCGACAATACGTCGGTGCCTCCGCGCTCAGAACCTCCGCAAATGGAAAGCAAAGAGAAGGATACCTCTTTCGAAGGAAGATGCCCAAAAGAGGTATAAATGGGCGTGTATATGGCTCGAAGATATCGAAAGTTGTTGAGAGTTCGAAGCCCCAGTTCGATATATCAACTTCCTTTGCTGATCTGATTTAGACGCTCTTTTCCGATGAGTGTTCATGTCAAAATAACACTTCAAATCCGACCTCTTGGGTGTTTCGTTTCCCTTCTGAGAAGTTTGACAAGCGGTTCGTCAACTTGAAGAACCATGTTAAGGCGAATATTACGATCATGGTCTGGGGAATGGTCTGGAGAGGTGGCCGGAGTGAGCTCATCATCATGGAGAGAGACGAAGACGCGCCTCGTTGAGGATATACGTCCAAGTCTTCCCAAAAGGCTCTTCAAGAAGGTCTCCTGCCTTATTACGATGGTACAAGGCATTTCCAGCAAGACAATGCTAAGATTCATGTCTCCGAGGCCACTCAAAACTGGCTTGTCGAGCATGCAATCGAGTGGATGGATTGGCCGCCACATAGCCCCGATTTAAACCCCATTGAGCATGTCTGGGCGGCTCTAAAGAGGACCCTGAAGAGAATGTTCCCTGATCTCTGGGAACTCAAAAGGAATGAGCTTAATATTGGAGATTTCAAAGAGAAGTTGCGTACGGCGTGGTGGCCTGTAGATCAATCTCTGATCGACAGGCTGATCGACTCGTTGCCTTGCCAGCCCGCGGCTGTAAAAAAAAGCTGAGGTTGGTACACAAAATATTGAAGCCTGTGAACTAGGCTTTAATTTGAATATAACACTATTCGCCTATCTTTCACGGTTGTTGAGATGTGGTCTGTTAAAGGCTAAAGGTAAGGATGCAGGTGGCAGGTTTTGGTGGGGTGTATGGAAACTTTTGATCCCTCACTGTAGGCAAGGTAGGATGCTTACGGTAACTTACCCGTCCAAACCTTCTAGGTTTGACCTCGAGCAACGCCGTACCTAAGGTACTACCTCATCCCGACTTGTATGCCCATGCCTTATTTTGCGAGCGTCTAGTCGATATAAAACGAGCTCGGTATTCTTGAGCCTTCAACCATCGCGACAAAACCACCTCTCGATGCATGCAATCCAGACAAGAGACTGCCAACCTGGAACCCTCACCACTCTACCCTCTTCCTTTAAGCTAAGGTACCTTATCCAAGTACGGAATATATACACCTCTAGACATCAGCCATACACGTACAAGTACATACATACAGTAATACACTGCCGCTCACCCTCTATTATACACCCTGCTCCTCGGAACTCCCATCATCTGGGACCCCTGCCTTCAAAGCATCCACAACATCCTCCGCCGACATCCCACCCTCCACCTCCGGCGCCGACTCTTCCGTGTTCAGATATCCGCCATGCGTCCAAACACCGCGATAATGTCGCGGCGTCCTGATCCGTCTCTTGTCATCCGGTCTCACCAACCTACCACCCCTCCACGTCCTCACTCCCTGGACTTCCTCATCCCCTTCCTCCTCCCCTTGCTCCTCATCCATCACCTCGTCCTCTTGCCCGCCGCCAGGTCCCGCCTCATCTAGCGGTCCTTTCCTCACCCATCCCCCCTCCTCAAAGATCTCCGCCTCCAGCGACGACCCAATCCGATGCATCGTAGTGACAGCGTGCACCGTCTTGGGACACTCGTCATTGATATACCGAAACTCCCTGCTCGCCTCGCGTGACCAGAGCATCATCTGCTCGAGGTCCATGTACTCCTTGGCGAGGACCAGCAAGGTATGCGAGATGGGCCGGGGCCGGTGCGGGTTGGTGCCGATGCGGCGCAGCGCCAGGGGGACCTGGTTCTTGGCCTGCTTCTCTGCCCGCACCATGTACCAGCCCGTCCACTGCGGCATGAGCACCTTCTCGCACACCGTGAACGCCTCGCGCCACCGCTTGAGCCGCGCCAGTGCCTGCACGTGGTAGTTCCAATTCTTGCTGTCCAGGTCGAAGCCGCGGCTGCGCACGCTGGCGATGAGGCGCAGCAGGCCGTCGGCGTCATGCTCCTCCAGATAGAGGCGCTGCATTGTCTTGAGCGGGTCGCAGAGGCGGAACCGCTGGGCATAGATGACCGGCTTGGGCGGGGTCTTGTCGTCGAGGTCTTGGCCTTGATCCGCGTCCCGAAGTTTGTTCGAATCTTGGTTTTGATCTTGGTCTTGGTCTGGGTCTGGGTCTTGGCCTGGGTCTGGGTCTTGGCCTGGGTCTGGGTTTTGGCCTGGGACTGGTTCTCGTTTGTGGTCTGAATTGAGGAAGGATGAAGCGGGCTGGTAGCGCTTGGTTGCTCTCCCGAGGACGAGCTTCCACGTCTGCTTGACGCTGTCGTATTTCTTTTCGTAGAAGTCGGCGAGCATTATTTGGTGGAGAAGCTTGAGCGGGATGTTCTCCTGGCTTGCCCGGTTGGGATAGCGAGAGTTATGGAGGCGGATGACCTGCTGCACGGTAGTGTGCTCGCGCATCTGGGTTAGGATGAAGAGCACCTTGGAGTAGAGGCCAATGACGGAGCGGATGTCGTCAGGCGAGCCTCGGTCTTCCCTCTCCAAAAATTTATAAAACTCAGACAGTATCTGTTTCAAGAAGTCTGCTCCCTTGGCACCTCGTCGCTTTGTATAGGGCAGCTGCTGCCATCTTCCCAAGGCGTCGATGACTTTGGTCATGCGCATTGCCGACTGGGGGAAGTTCAACTTTGACATCAGCTCGTTCGTCTTGAGCACCATGTGGGGTTCGCCCGTGTTGATGAAGGCCGCCATCAAGAGAATGAAGTGGTCTGCCGTGGGTTCAAAGACGCCCTCCTGGTGTGCGACACGGAGCAGATGCATGGCGTGGTGCGACTGGCGGGCATAGAGCAGCGCCAGCAGGAGGTGATTGTAAGTGTCCTGGTTGTAGGCGATTCCTTGTGCCGACATGAACTCGAGCAACCGGTTGACGGTGGTCAAGTCTCGGCGCTTCGCGTTGTGGTGAAGCAGCGCGTTCCAGAGCATTGTATAGTCGCCGTACAGACCCCGTTTCTTCGTGATCTTGACGCAGAGTTGCTCAGCCTCACTGAATCGGTCATTCTGGCAGTACGCTTCGACCAGTGCTCTCATCATGGCCACGGTCGGCTTAACACGCCGTTCTCTGGCCAGTTGGTAGAGCTCCAGGGTGAACTGGAGGTCGCCGCGGAAGCCGGCCATGCCCATCATGGTTCCGAACGTGTAATCGTCGGGCTCGAGGGCGTCGCATATGTATGAAAAAAGGTTGACGGCTCCTTCGTAGTCTCCTGCCTTGGCGTGGGCATTCATCAAAATGTTCCACTGCTTGATTTCGGGCGGCTTCCCTGTCCTTTCGGCGGCCTCCATCATTACCTGATGAGCCGCCTCGGGATCGCCCCTGACTGCATGGGCTTGCATGAGTGTTGTGCAAAACTTCGAGTCCTCTTCAAACTTGTCGTCGTAGTGCTTGGCATACTCCCCCGCCAGTCGCATGATTGACTTGACATCACCCCGTCCGCCATAGAAAGCCATGAACTTGCGGTATGCTCTCTCGTCCAAGTGGCCATGGTAACGATACCAGTCCTCCAGCAAGGCTTCCATCCCTACGGTATTATAAGGGAAGAAGATGTTCATCATGACCCTCAACAAGGAAACGGGCGCGCGCACTCCAGGAAGCGCCCGGTACTTCTTGAACAGGTCGGTGGCCAGCTTGTTGCGTCCCTGCTCCGCGTTGAGGACGATGTAGAGCTCATAAGAGCGCGGATCCGGGGCGCGGTGTAACATGAAGACGACATCCGAGGGCCGAAACAAATGCATCGAACATCTTACGATATGCCGCAGGAAAGAATCGACAAGCGCGGTCCGTTGCGGGAGGTACTCGGGATCGCTCTCGAGGAATTGGTACAACTCGTTCACTTTCGCCTCGAAATTGGCCGTTGCCGCCAATATCGGGTAGCCGGGCGTGCAATCCGGCAACCGACCTTGACTCGGGGCAGCTGCGGAGCCGGTCACAGGTTCGGCCGGAGGATCTGGTCCCTGAGCAGCCAGAGACTTGACGGGTTGGTCTCCTGCCATTCTACCGAGAGCATCAATATACCACTTGTCCATGACCTCTGCGGGTGTTGGGTCAGCCAAAGTTTCAGCTTCCTGCAATTCCATGGCGTAGGGAACGGTTTGGGCCGCCTGTGAGGGCGATGGGTCGCTTCCAAACTCGACATCCTGTGGCTGCTCCTTGCCGGTATCGGTTTCTGATATTCCGGGTCTCATCATCGATTCCGTCTCTTGGGCTGCTCCTGAGTCCAGTCCAGGCTGGACGTCCCCTAATCCGACTTTACCCGTCTCCTGCACCTCCGCCGGCTCAAACCCAGGCTCGGCAGTTGTCAGTGCCGGTGGCTCGAGAGCCGGTTCTTCCTCGCCCAGGTTGCTGGAGTAGAGTTCCCAAGCCCGAAGCACCAAGTCCCATAATGACAGCTCAAATCCGTAGGCGGCGATGTAATCCAGCGCTCGACCAAATCCGCGCTGTTCCACGGCGGCCCTGAAGACCGACATGGCTTCAGAGACGTTGTGCATTGTGAGGTGCGCCTTGACTACCGCACGCACGATGCCTTCGGTCCACGTGTCCACCGGGTAGTGGGCAAATAGGTCGATGACCCTCCAGGCCTCAATTGGCCGTGTTGACGCCGAAATGGCGAGCATAACCCTAGTCATGTATTCACCCTTCAGGGTCGGCTCTAGTGATGTCCAGATCTGGAAGATTTGGTCGTAGGCGCCGGCGTGGTCGGAATGCAGGAGATACTCTAGGGCTTCAGGGCCCTCCAGAGCTTCGGGATCCCCAAGCACGGCATGTTCACCCCAATGACCATCCCTGGCCTCTCCCAGCACGTCGAAAGGGTCAGTGGCGGCGTGTGATTTCGGAGGCTGATTCGACTGGCGAGGGACGGCGGAGGTGAAGGGACGCAACATGTGATTCCGTGGCCTTGGACCAACCTCCAAACGAATCGGGTATATCGAGGGCGGTCTCCGTAAAAGAGCGGCGGCTCCGCTGGGGTATAAGAAGTCGAGCAGAAAAGTGGAAAATGTCATGGTCTCGGTGCTCTTGCTCGGGTTCGCTGGTGTCGCGTGAACCTTGGACTCGCGGGGCCGCTGGCGAAGGAGGGCCTGGCAGGCGTCGACGAGCTCGAACTCAGCGGCTCCATGGTGCCAAAAGGCGGTATGGAGCTTGCGGCGGGTTTGCAAACAGGACCTGGCCGAGGGAAGAACTCGCTGGAGGCTGCTGCTGCAAGGCTCGATGCTCGTCGCGGTCCTCTCCAGCATGGCGGTAGACGGCGTGGCAGGGCGACGGCAGTCCACTCGATCCCAATGCTAACCAAAGGACAGACTGCGTCACCGTCGCATGGTCCGTAGCGAGTGGTCCTGTCCCGACGGGTGCCGCTATGTGTCGCGATGGGGGAGCACGGGAAAACGCGCGTTTGCGCTCCGTATCATAGCGGGCGTTTCGCAGTCCAGGTGTCTGTCAAACCTCCGGACGGTGGCGATGCGTGGTCCAAAGTCGTATGGAGAGGAAGGTTGTCTCGGCACAGAGGTAGGGGACCGGTCTCGGAAGAAGCGGAAAGCGGAAGACACAATACCTACTGTAGGTTTGCACTTTGTTCCCAACAGCTAGAAATTTTGGGCCTCCAGTTGCGGGCGGGCGCTCGCCGGTGGAGCAGGCGCCGAAGCTCCGGGTCGTACCACTGCCGCGGCAGAAAGCTCCACTGGTGAGTGGTGATTGGACGCAGTCATCGCCCGGACGCATGCGCTGGAGGCTCGTGGCCCTCGAGATTCACTGGAGTGGGAGATAGAAGGTTAGTACGGATCCGTACGTTTACCCGGTCCTGTCAGTGGGACTCTGTTGGAGAGGATGACTGAGAGTTTACGACGAAGTGTTAGTGTCATGTTTACGTTCTTCTTCTCCGCAGCATGTCCGGCCTTAGGTCTGATAGACTAGGCCGTGGATAATTCTCCCTGATCATCACTCGAGTACTCTGTAGTACTACTTCAGAGGGACGTAGAGGCTCACCAATGATTCTCATTATTTGCTGACGCGCTCAACCCCTGATCGGGATTGAACTCCTGTGAGCTGGTGACACCCGAAGCGTGGCAATTGTGAGCTGAACTTGTGCGCATTTCTCTGAGGTGGGAATAGTGGATGACTGTGCTTACCGTTGATCCCGTCGAAAGCGGATGGAGTAAGACGGGTGATGTGGTGTGATGGTTTCGGTTCACAATGCAATGTTGTCAAGTTTATGGATCATGGCTCACTCGGACAGAGCCTGCTCGCAGGTCTCGCACGGGGATTGGACCAGAATGACCGTACCTTTCCTAGTGACTTGGGAATAAACTGTTGGTCCTCAACTAAACGACTGTTTTCGGATTCCTCCCTGGTGCTGTTGACATCTTTGTGGCATCTGATGGATGGGCATACATACGCTGAGCTGCTGGGCTACACAGCCCTAACCCTGCACTTGGCGCCTGACCCCATTGATTCAGCTTCTGCGGGGAAGATCTGGATTCCCACGAGTGCCCCACATTTTTGGGGGTTCCGGCTTGAAGCTTGAAGCACACGACAAATAGACGCAACCCCTCTACCACGCTGCCCGTGCTCGCCTGGCAACAATGGATATCACCGAGTTTGTTCTCTCCCTGAGGGAGAAGGCGCTTCTTTATGGCGACTACTCGACGTACTGGTCGCAGCTGTCGGGCAAGCTGCTCAACTGCCGCAAAAAGCTCAACATTGCGACAAGGAGCCGCGGCAAATTCAACCCCAAATCCCCCGTCACGCCCGAGCAGATTGCCGAGAACCACGAGTGCGTTATCCCGCAGTTTGACTTCTCCGTCACATCTCAAGGGTGTCTGACAACATATGCCACAGATATGTCACCCTCCAGCTGCTGACCGCCGAGCGGGCTTGGGCCCAAGCCATGTCCATCAAGGCGTCACACTCGGCCGACACCAAGGGCATGACGAGCAAGACGCGGTCACATATCGTCTCGAGATTGGACAAGGCAGCCCGCACTGCCGAGAGCCTGGCTCAGGCCCTGTCTTCCGCCGCAAGTGGCGCGTCCCCAACCGACCTCCTCGACGCCCGCGCGTACGCCGCCATGCTGAGGGGCGCCACCCTCTTCGAGAAACAGAGCTGGGAGTCTTGCCTCAAGAGCTACGCCGTCTGCCGCATAATCTACAGCGCCCTTGCCACTTCGACAAAGGGCGACGCCTTCAAGGATCTTCTGTCTGAGACCATCGACCCCTCGATTCGTTACGCCGCATACCAGGCCAAGATCCCACGGACGCTGCCTATCGTCACCATTGCGCGCAAGGCCTTTGACCATGCGGACCCGGAGTTGGTGGATCAGGTCAAGCAGCTAAACCCCAACGTTCTGGCCCATGGTGATCCTGATGCGAATAAAGGGGCCGAGGGAGCTCCAACCACCCTCACATGGCGAGGCAGAGAGGTCAAGATCGAAGATGCAGCGATCGCGATTGCCTGGGCCGCTGTAGGAACGGCAAGAGGTCAGCTATTCGAGAAGCTGGCATCAGCAGGCAATTTGCATCCCAAGGACATGGCCGGCGCTTACGACGAAATCCTGGTTGCCAGCCAGGATGCCGTTGACGCAACCAAGCAGGCCATCGACGAGCTCAGGGCTGAGGGTGCCACGCAGAGCGATCCGCGGATGCAGGGTCTCCAGATTACGCGGACTGCGGTGAACTATGAGATGATTAGCTGGCGGATTGGCCGCAACAGAGCCTTGGTCGGGGAGAATGACGGCGTCAAGACGGACTTCGGCGCTACTTTGAGGAGGAAGAAGCGGACGAACGAGTCGGAAGGAGACAGAAGCAAGGGCGAGGCCCCGGGGCGTCAGATTGCGCGGTTGAAGGAGAAGGTTGTGTTGTATGACGGCATTCTACAGAGCCTCGAGTCTGTCAAGGAGCTGCCCGGCGTTGCTAACGATCAGGACTTATTCGGGCGGTTAGAAGCTACGTCGCACTACTTTACTGCCCTCAAGTATGTCCCTTCCCAACTCTTCACGTCCTTCCACAGATAAACTAACAATTCCATAGATCACTCGCCATTGCCCGCTCCCACGCCATCGCCGGCAACGCCGTCAATTCCCTCGCCCTCATCAAACACGCCCTGGACCAATGCAAGGCCGCCAGTTTCCCTCTCTCCAATAGCAGCGACAACGACCAAGATGAATTCACACCCCGCAACATCCAAGTCACCAAGCGCAACGTCACCCTGCTGCACGACACCCTAGCCGGCGAACTGCAGCGCGGCCGCGCCCTCGTCGAAATATTCAGCTTAACCGACAACAAGCACTTGGCCCAGCCCCTGACGGGAGGGCCCGCGTCGAAGCCGCTGTCCAGCCGCCTGTTCGACTATGCGGCCGGCGGCGTCGATCTCGAGAACATCGTCACCTACCCGCCACGGCTCGAGCCGTTCCCCGTCAAGCCGCTCTTCCTGGACGTTGCCTGGAATTATATCGAGTATCCCGGTAAGAACGGGCAGCAGCATTCTGCAGGCGCGGCCACGGTGCAGCAACAGCAGGATAAGACGAAACCTGGCGCTCCTGTGCCGGAACCGGAGGCGAAGCCACAAAAGAGGAGCTGGTTTCCGTTCGGGAGGTGATTTTCTTGTGGTTTATCCTGTAGTAGAGAGCTGGATCTTCTGAAATATGAAGGGTGAGTTGAGGGAAGGGAATAGACAAGATTATGGTGAAGATAGCAGGGCCGCTTGCTTTGGCCTGGGGACGCTGTTTTAGAATGCAGAAATCGGCGAGGAGCTGCTGATACTGGTGCGGTGGTAGGTGACCACTTGGCCTACTTTGTCCCCCAGGCAAGCCAAATCGTTCCAACAGCATGACTGACGACGGGTATATCAACCCCCTCCTCCAGCCAGCGTGGCACCACGACAGGGCTCCTGACGGAACATCCACCGATAAGAACCTCAAGTCCATTCTTCGTCTCACACTCATACCCACAGTCATGTCTACCGAGACGGCCTTCAGGACCCTGTTGGAGCTTTGAGCTTCCGGGAAAGATGCATAACAACTGAATCATCCGCCAACTAGAACCCATGGACCTCATGCGTAGATCGACCTGCCGTTACGTTCGCGACGTCGTCGCGCCCCTCGGCGTGGATGAACTCCTGGTTGTCGAAGTCAGCGAGATTGGTACTGAACGAAACCTTGAACGCCTGCTGCCTTTGTCTTCGTCTTCGTCGCGATTGGCATTTTGCCGGCAATGATGAAGGGGCCCAAGTCAAAGCTACTGGAAGGGGGCTCCAGCCGGCACAGCCGATTCTGCGTAGACTGTGGTCTCAGCCCGCCGCCAGGTCAAACTCGATACGGACGCGGTACTCCCATTATGAGGAGATGGCATGGTATCTGTGATACCGACGAGGATATTGAGGACTCGGAGGAGAATATCATGGAACCTGTTGAGCCAGACATCAATTGGTAGTTGGAAAGATTTAGAGCTGTAACACGGCGAAGGACAAGTCAAATTTCTCGCTTTCTAGCCACAGCCAGGGCAAAACCTCATGCCGCGGCGTCTGTCTTGGCTCTTGATGTGTTCGGCAAAGTGATTCATGCTTGAACGAAGTGAGGATACTGTAACTACTTAGCAACTTGGGCATCGTCTGAGTAGGCATTGCTCCTCGTACCGGTCATCGACGCGGACTTGGTGAGAATACCATTGAGGGGGGATTCGGATTGTATTGCTCTTGTGGCCGTGTAGTTACAAATACACGCATGCGCCTTTATCCAGCCCCCATCCCGTTCCGACCCATCATCGAAATCTTAAGACAATCCTGCCCATGAACGCAGCAGTTTTGATGCTCAGTAACGCCGTCCGCCGTCTGCATATTAAACACTGGAGATCTCAACCAGCCTCCAAGAAACAACATATGATACACAGAATATACACTGGAGACCGCTCCAACCTAGTCAGACACACGAGAGGAAAGAAAATGTGGGGGTATAGAGGCATCAATGACTGAGCCGACGCTTAAGCCTTGGGCTCGTCCTTCTTCTCGCCCTCAGCGCTCTGGCTGGGCTCGCCAGACTCGGCGCGGGCCTTGTGCATCTTGTCGAAAAGGTTCAGGCTGGCAACTTGGAGGTCATCGGTCTTCTCCTTGATCTCCGCAGAAGTGGCCGTAACCTCGCCGGACTGAGCCTTGGCGACAAATTCGCGAAGAGAGGCAATCTTCTCGCGGATCTGGTCGGCCTCAGCCTTGTCCAGCTTGTCGGCATACTCGTTGAGGGCTTTCTCAGTATCGTTCACGACGCTGTCGGCGCGGTTGGCCGTCTCAATGACAGCCTTGCGCTCCTTGTCCTGCTCAGCGTACTTCTCGGACTCCTCAACCATCTTCTGAATCTCAGACTCAGAAAGACCAGAGCCCGAGGCAATGGTGATGGACTGGTCCTTGTTGGTGGACTTGTCCTTGGCATGGACGTGGACGATAGAATCGGCATCAATATCAAAGGTAACCTCGATCTGGGGCACTCCACGGTGGGCGGGAGGAATACCGACAAGCTGGAAGTTGCCGAGAAGCTTGTTGTCCTTGACGAGCTCACGCTCGCCCTGGTAGACCTTGATCTCGACGGCGGTCTGGAAGTCGGCCGCAGTAGAGAAAACCTGGGACTTTTTGGTAGGAATGGTGGTGTTGCGGTTGATCAGGCGGGTGAAGACACCGCCAAGGGTCTCAATACCGAGCGAGAGAGGAGTGACATCGAGAAGGAGCAGGTCCTTGACCTCGCCAGAGAGAACGGCACCCTGGACGGCGGCACCGATGGCAACAGCCTCGTCGGGATTAACCGACTTGGCGGGCTCACGGCCGAAAATGCTCTTGACGGACTCGGAAACCTTGGGCATACGGGTCATGCCACCAACGAGGATCACCTCCTGGATGTCCTTCGCCTGAAGGTTGGCATCCTTTAGGGCCTTGCGGACAGGCTCGACGGTCCTCTTGATGAGGGGGTCTACCATAGCCTCGAGCTGCGCGCGAGTGAGCTTCTGGTTGATGTGCTTGGGGCCCGAAGAGTCGGCCGTGATGAAGGGAAGGCTGATGTCGGTCTGGAGCGACGAGGACAGCTCAATCTTGGCCTTCTCGGCAGCTTCACGGATTCTCTGGATGGCCACGCGGTCGTTGGAGAGATCAATGCCAGACTCCTTCTTGAACTGCTGGACCAGGTGGCGGACGAGGTGGATGTCAAAGTCCTCACCACCAAGATGAGTGTCACCGTTGGTCGACTTGACCTCAAACACGCCGTTCTGAATCTCCAAAATCGAGATATCGAAGGTACCACCGCCGAGATCGTAGACGGCAACGACACGGTCAGCCTCCTTCTCCAGACCGTAGGCAAGGGCGGCAGCGGTGGGCTCGTTGACGACACGGAGGACGTTCAGGCCGGCAATCTGACCAGCATCCTTGGTAGCCTGACGTTGAGAGTCATTGAAATATGCAGGGACGGTGACGACGGCATTCTTCACGGTCTTGCTGAGGTAAGCCTCAGCGGTTTCCTTCATCTTGCCAAGGACAAAGCCACCAATCTGGGAGGGCGAGTACTTCTGGCCGCGCGCCTCAACCCAGGCATCGCCGTTGGTGTGCTGAACAATCTTGTATGGCACCTCTTTAATATCGCGCTGCACCTCGGCGTCGGTAAACTTGCGTCCGATCAACCGCTTGGTGGCGAAGAGGGTATTCTCGGGGTTGACAACGGCCTGGCGCTTGGCAGCAACACCGACTAACCGCTCACCATCCTCAGCGAAGGCAACGACTGAAGGTGTTGTGCGAGCACCCTCGGCGTTCTCAATAATCCTGGGGGTCTTGCCCTCCATGATGGCGACGGCGGAGTTGGTTGTGCCTAGAGAGCGGCTGAATGAGTCCATGGTCGAGTCTTGACGTGGGCGGCGGCGACTTACCGAGGTCGATGCCGATAACAGCGCCCTTGACCTTCTCATCCGTAGACTGGAACCGCGTGAACGCGGGAGTCCTCCACAGCAGACCCGCCGAGCGGGAAGCTACTGAGGTTGCCCTGGGAAGCTGGATGGCTGTTAGAAAAGATGCAACGATGTCATCGCGCATGGCAGTCGCGCTTCTGGAGAGAAGAGACTTACAGCACGAGGAAGCCGTGTAAACAGCATTGTGAAAGGCTCTAATTAAAGGAAACTAACACCCTTCTCTAGGTAAAATGGGGGAATCACGGCTAAGCAGACCACGGGTGGGTGGGATGGTGGAATTGATGGAGATGGAGGATGAAGAAGGATGGAGGAACGGTTATTCAGCGTCTTTTGTACAGGAGCGAAAAAAATTCACCGCCTGCATCGAAGCCGTTCGAATTTCGCGGTCAGCCACTGGCTTGCTATGAAGTGGAGCTGGGCACGGGCCCGTTTGCGCTTTTGGTTGACGGCGGCCAAGGCCGGGGATAGGAGAAGACTGGCCGGGAAAACACGGATGAAGGCGTGAACATCTTGTACGGATGTACGTTACTGTATGTGTATCAAACGCTAGCATTACATCCATACCGAATCTGCACCTGCTGGGCCTCTTTGCGATGGCGCAGGGATGCAGCGCAAACGCGGATGTTGCCAGCCTTGTTGGTCTGGGAGCTGTCAGCCATCTGCGATGAATTTCTCAACGGGAAGAGTGGCAAAAGCCACTCTTTTTCACCGGTTCATACAGTTCGTTCTACCGGTATTTGAATGCCGGGTGCTGTGTCCGCTTTTATTTGTCGGATGACGGAAACGGATTGAGCTCTTCTGATTACTCCACTTACAACTGATGACGATCACCTCCATGTCCTGACGTCGCCGCTGTCAATTGTATCCAGCACTCTGCGCACTGGTTTCAGTACAAACACCGCCTACCCGAAGACTCCGGGATTGTGGGAGCATTCAGCGCCTTGAGAATAACCGAACATTATCAATAATCATCGCAGCTGCAGCGCCACTGGCCGGGATAGAATCTGGATGGTCGCATCACGTTAGCACTCCGCCAAGACACCGGCACCATGGCCGTCACAAGCAATGTGTATGAATCTTCGACCTTTGAGTGTCGAAACCTCGCGCTCGTCGTATAATAATAGATACTGACAAACATACTTGCTTGATTGCAGATACGCCCCGACCGAAGATCTCATTCTATCTCGCCCCCGACGGCGTTTCCGCACCGGCGTTCGCTGGCAGTACGTTACCATTTGCTTGGCTGCGCAATCCGTCGGCTTCGAGATGATTTCTAACACGTCGCTGCTAGACACTGGCAGTTACGCTCCCTTATCGGCACCGACAGTCAGAATCGCATCTATTTTCCGGCCCCAGGCACCGACAGCAAGAACTGCCAGATACAGCGACTGAACACCAAGACCCAAGAATTTGAAACCGTCAAGCGCTTGTCCTTCAACCCGAGGTGTTTGGTGGCACGGAATGGTTGGGTATGCTGTGGAGGCGAGTCCGGCGTTTTCAGTGCATTCCAGGTGGGCGAGCGAAGCGAAGCGCACGAAACCGGCAGCAGATTGGACTTCCAGGCCGACAACCGCCTTCCTCTAGCCCTCGATCTCTCCGAGGTCACGTCGTCGTTGCTGGCCGAGGCTCGTTTAGATAAAAACCTTGTGGCACAAAGCACTGACTTCGGAAAGGATCGAGTGAATTGCATAACACTCTGGTCACCACCGACACTCGCCGAAGCGTTCGAGGGGGCGTACGACCAGGATGTCGCAGTGTTGGCGCATAATGATAGTTCCGTCATTGTCGTTAGCCTTCGGGACCAGGAGGCGTTGGACAAGATTACATATCCGGACTACATGAACAGGGGGGTCATATCTCCTGACGGGCGACTGCTCATCGCCATCAGCGACGATCCCTACTTGTACATTCATGAGCGGAAGGAGAAGACTGAGAGTTGCGCCTCCGTACGAGTCACGGCGCGACCCTTATACGCCTGGAACCCGTGCGGCAGGATCCAGCTCAAAAGCCAAAGCAAAGACGACCGATCTGATAACAGGTCGGTACTCCCGTGACTCCTTTAAGGACGTAGTATTCGCTAACTAAGCAGCAGAGGGAGTTTCGCGGCGTGTTTTTCCAGCACGGGAAGGTATCTTGCTGTAGGGACCCAGTATGGGATCATCTCGGTATTCGACGTTGCGGCATTGACCATGCAGGGAGCAGAGCCGTTGATCACGTCGTTCAACGCGTCAAGGGCGAACGCTGAGTTCGGCGCTGTGAGAGACATGGCCTTCTCTCCCGGCCCAATCGACCTTCTTGCCTGGACCGAGGACCGAGGTCGCGTAGGCATCGCTGATGTGCGAGCCGGCTTCGACGCGCGACAGATTTTGTATCTTGACAACGAGGACGATTTTGAGCACCTGGCGGTCACGGACAGAGGTACGATTGATCCTCGGCTGCTGGAGCAGCGGGCCGAGCGCAGCGAGAGCCTATTGGCGAGTCTCGCGAACGCCATGGATCCGTCGGGGGAGAGCCGTCATAACCGCCAGTCAGAGGGACACACATCGCTGGCGCGATACAACACCCCATTGACTGCGGAAGAAACGGCCGTTTTGGAGGCCATCCAGGACTACCGCCGACGACAGGACCAGTATGTCGGCGCCCCCAGTAGGCCCGGCGCAGAAACTGGCAACAGCAGCAGCAGCACCGCCAACAATGGCGGTGGTAGCGGACCGGGCACTGGCTCAAGACCCCCTTGGGCGGAGCGAGCGAGTCGGACCGCCGTCGAGGGCGCACGCAACACAGAACGTAGCGCAAGCGTGACCCGAGCCGTCAATGAGATTTTGGAGAATATCCGTGACCAAAGAGCGCGGAACCAAAATGCGCAGGAGCGTCTGCGGGTGCGGGAGGACAACACTGCCGAGAGACGCCGGTATGCACCCTTTTCTGGACTGGACAGCGGCCTGGGGGCTGCGGGATCGGGGACAGGCGGTCGCGGCGCGCTGCTTTCACGCGTGGCAAACACCCTAAATCCTACTTCCTCTGGCGCCTGGGATAATATCGAGGCCTTGTACGAACCCTCACTCGGTGGTAACGAGCCTCATGAGACGGGCCCGTCGATAATCATTGATTTGAGGGCCCAAGCTGACTCGAGGCGGCGGTTTAGAGCGGCGTATATTATGCGCGACTGGGAGGAGAATTCGCCCCGGCGAGTCCTGGGGACTTTCATGACGTCGCACACGCGTCCTGGACCGTACGACACGGCGGGTCTGGCTTGGAGTGAGGATGGAGACGTATTGTAAGTTAAGCCTGGTTTTGACACTTATAGACATGAACCACTAACTTAATGGGTAGGTTCGTAGGCGCAGAGAACGGTATATACGAGTTTCGTGTAAACTTATTCGGGCGGAGGCTATCTCCGAGCATCACTTTGAGTTGAGTTGGATGCGGCAAAGGATGGGTATATTGCATAGGAAAGGCGTTGTGGCGTTGCAATGACATTCGTGAGCATAACCTGGGTCTGAGGATATCGGAAGCCGAGACTGTTGACGATTCTGGCTGGCATTGTCATAGTCTCTCGTTACGGTTACGTGGGGTTGGACTTCAAAAGCGCTCGATATATCTGGAATGGCTGGGCGGGCCTAATGATACACGTTAATATGGCTGGGAATCGGATTTGGTCTTGGATGGTACCAAAGAATAACCAGCTGCCACGCCGTCACAGATTGGCCCCCCTCCCGGGGCGTGGTTCTGGAGCGACTTAGCTATGTATACAAAAGCTTCTCTACCTTTTCTGCTATGGCCAGGCAACTCGTTAGACCGGGACTTTCGATGTTCAGCAGGTTGATCCACCCATGATATCCCTCCTCCTTCTGGATAACGAAATCCACGAACCCTTTGCCATGTGCCACTGCACCCTGTTTCCCCAGCTTGGGCCGTATCCCGGCATAATCGGGCTGCAGCTGTGTCTCGTCGAGTCCAGGTAGATACTTCTTCACCTCCTTCACCGTCTGCTCCAACCGCGACCCGTTCACGGTGAGGTCGTCGGGAGAGTCGACCCACTCAACATCGGGCCCGAACTTGATGCGCCCGCCCAAATCCAGCGTCAAGTGCGTTCCCAACCCGCCATGGCCAGGCTCCGGCGCGGGATAGATTAACGTGCTCACCTTGGGACTCGATGCCGCATACGAGAAGTAGTTTCCCTTGGCATAGAACATCTCCCTCCTCCGTTCAGGCGGCACAATCATATTATGCACCGCCACCGCACCCAGCCCAGCCGAATTGACAATCGTCTCGGCCGTCACGGTCGATACTTTGCCGCTAGCCACGTCCCTCACCGTCAACTCCCATCCCCGGCTCCCGTTTCCGCCCAGCGGCGTCACGCCTTCCACCGCGCTCCCGACCGCCAGCGTCCCGCCGGCGTCCTCGAACAGCCCCAACAGACACATCATCAGCGCGTGGCTGTCGATGATGCCTGTCGTCGGGCTCTCGAGGACGCCCCGTTCGGCGCGAACGGCAGGCTCCCGGCGCGAAGCCTCCTCGCGCCCGACCCAGTGCACGGGGACGCCCAGCTCACCGGTGCAGAGGGCGTGGATCTGCCGCAGCGCCGCGAGCTGGGCGTCGGTCTGCGCTACGATCCACTTGCCCGTGCGGCGGTGCGGGATCGAGTGGGACTCGCAGAGGGCGTAGAGGAGGGCCTTGCCGCGGATGCAGAGCTCCGCCTTGACTGTGGACGAGCCGTAGTAGATGCCCGCGTGGATGACCTCGCTGTTGCGAGAGGAGGTCTCGGTGCCAACCGAGGTGTGGCGTTCGAGGAGGAGGGTAGAGCTGATGGGGTGCTGGCGGGCCAGGGTTTGGGCTACGGCGAGGCCGACTACGCCGCCGCCTAGTACCGCGTGGGTGAAGTCGGCAGGGGAGGAGAGGGGAGTGCTGTGGGAAAATTTGCGGGTGGTGTTGTGTTCGGGTTTGTGGCGGAAGCGGGACCTGATCCGAGAAGGTGGTCCCGCCGGGCCTCGTGACACCGGAACCCAGAGTGAGAGCGGATGCCTCGAACCGGGTCGCATATTTCGCTGTTGTGGCCGGATAAGAAGCGGAAAAGTCGGTTGCTGTGCTGACTGTTGGACTTATTCAGGTGATGTTAACTCGGCCCGGGTCTTCCGCTCGCTGGTCGGCTCAAGGGTGTCGTTGTTGTGGTGTGGTTTGGTTCATTGGCCCAGAAATCAGATCTCGGTTGCGGGCCGGATGGATTCTCACCATCACCGGTCCTGTGGGTTGCCACATTGTGCTTCTGGTTTGATTGCCGCCTAAGTGCCTAACTAAGGTAGCTATACAGAACTACTTGAGTGTTATGTTCCCACATACCATAAGAAGTCGCAGGTTTTGCTCGAGACTGCTCAGCAATTCATTCAATCTCCATTTCGCTCCTCAACGTGCAGTAGGCGACCTTGGCAGCTTGGCTTGGCATAACGTGCTGTCTTGCAGCTATTTTGTTTGGTAGCATGTTACACGTGGAAGTTGGAGTCACTGCTTAAGACGACGATGCCCAAGAGGAGAGAGTTAAAAGCGAAAAATAAAACAAGAAACGGAAGTCGGAGATACGGAAACCCAACCTAACACAGTCATTCAAATGCATGTAGAGTATCCTTCTTACTGCACGGTAGTTAACCAAAAGCGCTGGGCGTGTCTTCCACTTACAGGTTGGGTTTCGCACTAACAACCAAGGCTGCGGCATCTGGATCGCCCAGGCTGCGCATTGTCGCTCGGTATCTATCCGTATCGAAGCTGCCAAAAATAGTATGAAGTAAACGGCAGCTATGAGTAGCTGGAGATCCTTCTGAAAATAAAGGACGCAGCCTTCCGTTGAATTACCTTTCTGGACTCTCGTCACCACCATGTTGAGACGGAAGTGGTGGCCCACATCGTCTCATTGTGGATCTCTGGCCTTGTGCCAATTGTTGCGTCACGCGGGGAAGGCCGTCGATCCTGCCAGCTGCTCGAAGCACCCCACCACCGTCCAAGCGAGACAAAAGCATACCAAGCACCAGACTGAAGAGTTGGAAACATCATTCTTCGTTCCACCGCTTTCTGACTGCTTCATAAGTCTTCTCACCGATCTTCGCCTGGATTCAGGCTGTTACCGTCAGCGGTTCACCTCCTTTCAACCTCTAGGTAGCACTGGACATTGTTGGCTTGTTGCACTGGTATTGCTTGCCTTCAGATACCGTTTCGGGCTCTGTCTCGTCTCGACTCCCGTCATACCTTGCGTTTCCTGATATCTTCTCCCCATCGGAGCCATAGCCGGAGCAGCAGCATCTAGCTCCTATCGACATTCTACTTCGTCTTGTCGAAGAGTCAGCAAGACTTCTTCGCACAACATGTCGCTCGATGGCGGGATACCGGGAGCTCTGAACGGAGATGGTGTGCCCACGGCCTCTCCTTCAAGGCGCTCGTCGATTTCTCTGCAGGCTACAGCAACCCTCAACGCCGGCCTGCAGCGCGAGCCACCTTCTCGAGGTACGCATACGTCACCACTTCCCAAATGAAACTTAAAGGTCAATAGTTTTGCTGACTATATTGATTGGTCAGGCTCAGCCAGTCCCTTGTCATTCCGCAATCGATCGCCCAGCACCGGCCGTCGTCGTTCTCAGATCCTCGCAAACCTCCATATTGCCGACCCCTCCGTGCCAGCGCCAGGCGAAATGGTGGCAGACGACCAGCCATCCAACTACCAACCAAACATTCCCCACCCCGTCACTGCGTCGCCTCGCTTGATTGCCTCCGGGGTCCCCCACCATACCCGAACCCCTAGTCTCGGTGAACTTCACCAAGAGCTCGAGAACGAGCAAGAGTTCCATGTCAATCGACTGCTCGCCCAGATCCGCCAGTTGCAGGAGCAACTTCAGCGCCAACAGCAGCAGAACCAGTCGGCAGTCCTAGGAGACGAAACCTCTGACCGATCAGCGCCGCTTACCATCTCGACTTCGTCGCCGCAACCACTGGCGGCCTACCCGAGCTCGGGCTCCTTACCACGGTCGCCCGTCTTCCCGCGAAGCTCGTTTGACCTGGCCCGCGCCGATTTGCGCCACCGGTCCAGAACACCTAGCCGGAACGCGTCGCCCCGGCTACGGTCCGCGTCCATCAGCGCCGACAGCGGCGAGCCGTGGGCGCTGGGCGGCCGCGACGAGAGTGCCTTTTACCAAGCCGAGACGCAGATGCTGATTCGCGAGAACCAGATGCTGCGGCATCGAATCCGGGAGTTGGGTAAGTTTCCGTAGGCGGAGTACTCTCGAGTTTGTCCGCAGGGTCCGTGTTGCTAATCTTTATCGCGGCAGAGCGTCAACTCTCGGAGATGCAAGGCAACAACACGTCGGTGACGCATGAACCGTCGCATTCTTCCCATCTGAACCATTCCGTGTCGGCGTCGGATGAGGATTCAGCGAGTCAGACTCCTGTTGCTGCGTCGGAGGAGGATTCGGCGAGGCAGACTCTTGCTGCTGCGTCGCAGTCATCTGCCGTCAAGGCTGACTAAGCGCAGAGTTGTTCCCGGTTCTTGCGACAGACTCTGGAATGGCATTCGTTCACAAACACCTTTCGACTTTTCGGCAGCGTTTTCGGCTTCTGCTTCTTTTATAGAGCGGAGCTCGCAGAAGAATTCTTGAAGGCGGGCAGGGAAATCGGTTCCTTGTTTCTGTTTCGGCTTCTCAATTTCAAGATGATGAATCGGGCCCCTTTTTCTTCCGACTTGGCAGGGGATCTCCGATATTCTGGGTTGGGAGCATATCTACATGGGAGGGAGGGAACGCCGTTTTCGAGGCATGTACGATGATGATGTAGGAGATAGCCGACCACAGCGCAGCCTTGAGGTTCCTTGACATGTATTTCTCTTATCGATGTCACCCCTGAGCCTTCTCGTCTTCTGGCTGGTCTGTCATGAGGGGCGGTCGAATGTGACTGTCGACAACGGAAGACTTGGAATTGACATGGTTTGCCCTCCGAGTTTCCAGCTGACACGCCTTGTCCCGTAAGCCCTACCGGCTCTCGTGGTGGAGTCGCCCCAGCTTTTGAACCCTGGACCCGCAGAATCGGAATAGCCAGGCTCAGCCACCTTGCAAATACCGGATCGCCAGCTTATAGAATGTTGGCAATAACTCTGTTCTTGACGGGAAATCTTTCCTGCTCTACATACGCCAGTACTTGGTCTTACCTCTCGTGGTATAAGTGTGAAATGCTCTGTTGTTTTGCCGACACACCGGAGAACCAAGATCGGCTGGTTGGCAACGCATCCGGCCATGGCGCTAATGCAGGAACGGAGCTCTGTTCTCGATCACAAGGCGCTGGAAGGATGTCTGTGACGTACGTAACGCATGGCCCTAGTCTTTTTCGGAGGGTTGTCCTTGTTGATCCGTGTGACCGTTGTGTTTCAAGGACAGCCACGATACCCACTGCCTTCTGACAGGAGCCAGTCACCGACAGTCGCGTTTTCTTCCCTGGCTGCAGAAATTCCGTACCGCATGCGCGTTGCCGTTGAATAATAATAAGGGGTCGACGAGGATGGCTCCTGGGGTGAGGAAGTCCTGCCTTGCTTATTGAGCGGCTTCTTCTCCCCTTCCATTCTTCGGTGGAACCTAAACGGCCCCCCACCCTCGGTCACGGGAGTGTAGGTAGGTTCGGATATTTTGGTGGGTTCGCGGGCAGCTGCTTCAGCTGGATCATCTGTTGATGAGGAGGACGCAGCTTGGGGTAACGCGATGCTGAGCAGGCGAGTGCTTGAGGCCAATAACTGGTTCTTGGGTGGGTAATCTGTGCAGATAGGCTGCGGGTGGATGCCTATGAGGGATGCCCTGGAGAAGAACAATCCCGTCTGAAGCCAAGGCCAGCTTCATCGGGATGAAGCCGAGCAAGGTACTCAGAGGTTCTGGACGCGGCGCCACCCTAGTAGGTAATGCTGTAACAGATGCCCAGGCTGTGTTGGCAGAGGTATCTCTTCATGTTGCGAGGCCTCGTTCATCCAAAACAGCGTGACAGATATCAGCAGTTTGTTTCGCAATCAGCGCCAGATCGGCTCGCCGCTGGGTAGTTATCCTGGCCACGGAATGAGTCCCGGAGGCTGAAAGCCAGACATCGATCCACGAAGCCACAGATCCGCCGAGCAGTCAACATCCGGCCTTGGGGTTTGTCGACCTGTTACGCGCGTATGACCAGGCCCACTGACAAACTGTTCCCTACCACGCCCGAGCCTTCAAGGGCTTGTTGTTTGTAAAATGCTTCCTTCAGGGAACTGGGAAATATTCTTTGTACACATAGTCCTTGTCGGGTTGGGTGGATGTTCAAGAATCCTCGGGCAGGGCGAAAATTCAAATCTTCTCCGTCCCACGCTGACCCGCTTGCAGCCAACTCCCCGGCCTCGGAAACACAACCCCTGGATGACACCCGGCCCCACAGCAGGGGTTGCTCACTGGCCATGGACCAGGCCTCGATGCGACTCAACTTCGGAATTTGCTTTTTGTTCATTCCTTGTTCAGATTCTTGTCTTGACAGTCACACAGCCGCGGACTTTGATGCAACGCGTCTTCCAGAAACCTGGCCCTGGCGTTGTGAGCTGGAGCTGAAGATGAAGGTACCTAGGTAACACGGCAGATGAAGTGAAAGCCGTGCCCAAGCAAAACGAGGTACCGATCCGTGACGGATGTTCCTTGATTGGGGGGAGAAAACTGGGTCACGACTCGAAATCATCAAATTCAAGCCTTACCCAACCACAGCCGTTCCTCTTAGCGTCTCTTAATGCACCCCCCGGTTTATATCTTCATCCCACCTCAGTCGCTTCTCCTTCTTACTTTGGTCGCTCATTTCTTCGTTGCAGCGAAGCTTACACGTATATTCGGCAAAGCTGTGGTTATAGTCCTCGACTTTTCGTCCATTTTCATTGCGCCGTCCGTTGACCCGCGTCCCGCAGCTCCAGCTCCGACGCGTCTTGCGTCTTTCTGTTTCTTGCTTACCCTACTCCTGACCTTTTCTCGCGTCTTCGTTACGTCGCTCCCACTCCTTCTCTCTTTTTGTTATTGTGGTGCACCACAACTCTGCACCGGTGGCTCATTACTGCTCCAATGCGTGGGCGTCTCTCAACGACACACATGTTCTGACCGAGCCGTCCTGCAGGGGAGGTACTGTAGCCGTGTCTGCGCTACCACGCAAAGCGGCAGCGCTAAGGGGCATCACTGCCATGTCCACTCGTTTTGCACTACACCACAGCCACCATGCCCGACCTGCCGGCACCGACCTCGCCAGGGGCCGTGCTTGACCTCCGGCAAAGTCAAGGTGCATATTCAAGGAGGGCGAGGCCCCCGGATCCGCATACCGAGACTGCCGAGGCAGTGAGGGTGCCCTTGAAGGTTGAATTCGGAGACAAGACACGTCGAAGGGAGTCCAGATTGGGGTTGAGGAACATCTTTGGCCGGGGCAAAGGAGGGTCTGAGGGGGATAGGGGTGCGGGTTTACCGCGTGAGGCCCTCTCCAAGGCGGGAGGCATACGGGCCTCGCTGGCCGAGATCAACTGGCCTTATGGACTGCATCAGGGCCAGGGACATCGATCAGAAGTCTCCCTCTCATCCTTCTCCAAGCCATTGCCAGCTGGTCAGGGCTTAAAGCACAAAAAATCTGAAAGTATCGTCCGCCAACAGCCAGATCATGAAGGCATCGCCGCTTGGAGCCCGCCTCCGCTGTTCCAAGCTTACCCGCAGGCAATCAAGCACGCGCATCTCCCGGCATGTACCATCTCCGCCGAGGTTGTCCTCCGCATGCACCACCACAAAAGCAGCGGCTCACTTGTCGGGATGTTGAGTCCAAGCACCCCGGATATACCAGAGGAAACGACGGGCGAGAGGCCCAAAAGGAGACACCGGAGAAACGGGTCTGGGTCTTCGTCCAGATTCGAGTGGACAACAAAGGTCTACATACTGGTCACGTCGGGATATCTGCTGCAGTATGCAGGCGAAGGTTCTTTCGATCGCCTTCCGGAGAGCGTCTTGCAGCTGGGCAAAGAATCAGCGGCCTTCGCGAGTGACGCTATCCCGGGTCGTCATTGGGTTCTTCAAGTGTCCTCGGTCGCAGAACCCGATCGTGCCTTTGCTTCGCACTCTTCACTCCGCGCGCGGCTGCCCTTCCGTGGCACGGACAAGAGGCATTCCTCGACCTTCTTGATGGTGTACGAGAGCGCTGAGGAAATGGATAGCTGGATTGCCGTACTGCGGCGAGAAATCGAGAAACTCGGAGGTCGGAAGGTCCTGTCGGAAACAGGAAAACCCAAGGCGAGTGTCCAGGATGCGCAATCGAGGAGCCAAGGAAGCCAAAGGGCATTCGTCGTCAGGGACCCCGACCGATTCTCCCGGGTCATCGCGCCAGATTGGAACCAGAGTCTACCGATACAACATCCGGACGCACCAGAAGACCCGGCCCTCGACCAGTCTTTTGATGACACCTCTACAGCCAGCTTCATCTCGCACGAAGGGAGACAGCTTGACGCTCTGAGAGACAGCATGAACCGTCTATCATTGCATTCGTCAGGCCAGCGGACGGTGGTCACGTCCGTCGGCTCATCGCCAGCCTGTTCTCCGGTCCGAGATACTTTTGGCGAGTTAGACTCCATGCCGGAGCATCCTTATTTGGAGGAACATCCCCAGCCCAGACTGAGGCCGAATGCCATGGCAATCATCGATCGAAGGCAGTCCCTCCAGGCCATCAATCACGTCTTAGAGATGCGCGTTGCTTCAGCGCAGTCTCTCCGCCCTCTGTCGATGTACTCGAATTCTGGACAACCTGAAGCGGCCCCATCCCTCGTGGTTGTGCAACAATCCATGCCAAACTTCAGCGTGCCTCAAAACGCAGGGAAGCGGTTTTCCTTTACTAGAAGCCCGCCAGGTGTACCGCCGCCTCAGATAACGACGGCATCGCCTCTCCCGGTGCGAACGAGCACCCGGAGACCGCCACCGTCGGCTTTGTCCATTAACCCACGCCCCTTGTCACTAGTCGAGGATCAACCATCTCCCGCATTTTCCTCTCTAAGTCGAGCTGGATCGGCAACGGGCGGTACTGGGAGCCCTCTCTCGGCCTCTCCAACGACACCGCCTATATCCTCGCCGCCGCCGCAGCGAGTTGGGGATCAGGCGACAGAGCGGCAGACTCGAGAAGAAGCTCTTCGCGACTCGGGGATCTCGACACAGGACAACACTCCGGGAACCGATCGAGCCTTGGATCCCAGGCCCTCGAGTGAACCGCAAGACAGTGCCTCGAAAGTCCACAAGCCACTCTCGCCGTCCAACGTCGCGTCGCTTGATGCCCGCAATATACCTCGGTCTCGCACGTCACTCGGCACGTACGGCGAGTTTTTGCCGGAAGCCCAGGCGGGCATAACGCCAGTGATACGAGTTCGTAGGTCGAGCTTCAGCTCGCCCCAGCAAGTGGAACGGACCAGTCGAGCTCTCTCGCCTCCACCTTCCATCCGCAACGATCATGGCCAGCGACCTCGTGCACCGTCCTTGAAGTTGATACCAAAGTCGCCGCAGCATCTCCGGCTCGATTTGCGCTCGCAGGCTCAGTCGCTTGTGCAACGGCGGAGCATGTCACAGCTGGCTGAGGGTCCTCCGCCTGCCCCGCCGCCGAATCGGGCTCTTCCCCCCATTCCGCAAAAATCCAGGGTGGATGTTCCGCCACCGGGATTCATATGATTGCCCCTGATCGAGGGCGGCTTCACAGTCAAGGGGGCCCGATTGGCAGTCGAGCATTTATTGCTTCAACGAAAAACGATCCTTAATAAACATCTCTTTGGAAGAGAAGGTGCGGGGTACGCAGAGGTTGGATATGTTCCGCCCCATGCTTACAGGGTGGTTTGTGATGGAACGCACTGTCCTTATTTGAATCTTGGTACGCCGAAAATCATGCAATGGGGGGAGTTATACCCACTGGACGACAGTCAACGAGTCTTTTTGTGCGTATTTCGGAAGTGGTTCATACCTTGTACCATATAGAACACCGGCTGCCATGTCCGCAACGGAGTGGAGGCTCAGTCAGTGAGCATGCTTGAATTGTCTATGTGTGATTTGGCCGAGGTTCCTTTGTGCTGAGCTGGGGCCATCCCCCGTCCGGACTCGATGAGGAAGGGTGTGCCTTCAGGTTCGCTTTCAAGTTCGAGTATGTCCACCTGTCTCCCAGTACTCATAAGTGCAGAGCATCGCTCGGTGGGACGTCGAAACTTGAGTGCTATTGTGTGTGATGAGAACATGGATTAGGCCCACGTACGAGGGTACTTGGGAGTAAGCTACGAAGTCCAAGGAATGCAGATGCCCTCACGGTGCGCCGAAGCGCATACTAAACGCAACGCAAATATGGGTGAGCACATCGGGGGTACTCCTTAGTCACAGTCGCTCTCGAATCTTTTCAGTGCTTATTCGCGGCCAGTGTCACAATACCGAGGACACCACTTTAAGATACAATCCAACCCGATTAGTTTGTTAGTGTTGGACTCAGGTATTCTACCTCATCTTTCAATTTGATCTTACTTGTTTTCTTTCCCCCTTCCTTGCTTTCTTTTCTTCTTTCTTTCTTTCCTTCTTTCCTTCTTTCCTTCTTTCCTTCTTTCCT